TTAAAAAAAAAAAAAACAAATGTGCATAGGATAGTATAGTGTGATAAGTACATGTCATCTCTTAATTTAATACCGTTTATTACTGATGCCATTAATAATGAGCATTCACAAAAAATAATTAGCAATTGTACTCATTAAAGATCTAGGTGGTGACATCAGTCCTCCCTCAGACATATCAATCTTTCATCACTCCTTATTTAGAAGGAAAGGAGCACACATATGAAAGAAACAAAAGTTTGTCTAACTATTGTGATGGCTTTTAGAGGCGAACACCTATATCTAAATTAGTCCTAGTTAAAAAGAATCATTTTTTTGGGGCTAATGGACTTGGAACTGGCGGATTTCAATCCGAAGCTGGATTCAAAACACCAAATTATTTGAAAAAAATCAGTAAAAGCTATGAACTCGATGGGGTAAGCATAAGGATACAACTCCATTGTAAATATTTTACTGAGAAAAAATCAGGTAAGTATATTTTGGATTGCAAGGCAACCCAAACTATTTCATTTCAAGAATCACACTGAATAAGTATATTTTGGAATCCAAGGCTACCCTACTAATTCATTTGAAGAATCATACTGAATATTTTGTGAAAACCAAATTTGTTAGTATGATAATAAAGATGCATATTACACACTTCAGTTTCGGGTTTCCATTACGCCCCCCAAAAAAAGAAGGCAAAAGATGAGAATCATATATACAGACTACATCGAATCAAACCTCGTCTACGATAATGTTGGACGAAAAGGAAGAGATAGCTTTGCATATTTGGGGTAAAGAAAAAACAAACTCAATTAACACGACTAACAGTGAATTATTACTGATCGTAAAAACTTGCCTGGTTTGGTGATGCAACTTCAGGTAGTTTATCCTTTTCGTCAAGGGAGCCAAACCACACTCTCTCACCTGGAACTGCACCCTCAGGTGGCACAATAAGCTCGACATTCTCATGTGCGGCATCAGAAGCAGCCATCAGCATTCCAAAAGACTTCACACCACGCATATTCCTAGGCTTTAGATTAGCAAAAACAACTACACTCCTATCCTGCAACAACATTATCAAACACATTCCCATATTATATCCCACTTCTCAAAATAACTCAGTATACAAAATCTTCATATAATACAAGCCCCTAATTGTCATTACTTTGTCTTTTTCATACTTGAGTCCGCTCACAATTCTTTTACACAGATAATACAAATTGCAACTGGAATACAATATAACAATTTGTTTGGAAAACCTGAAATTAATGCTAAAACATCTCGAGTCAACTATAGCTCACATTATCACACACAAGAGATAGATCAAGAATGTATAAGCAACAATGGAAGAGACCTGGAGAAGCTCAAGGGGAGTGTATTTGACAAGGCCGCTGCAAATGGTTCTGGGCTCGGGTTCACCAACATCAACCTCTTCCACGTAGAGAGAGTCGGCCTCCTCGTGCCTCCAGGCCTTGAGGATTTTCCCCACTCTCAGGTCCAGAGTGTTGGCCGCCTCTCTAATGGCGGCACCATCATCTTCACCCACCGTCGTCGGGGTTGTCGCGGCCGTGCTATTCTGCGCCTCCGTCTCCGTGGAGTAGCATAACACCGGCATTCCTCTTATTCCTCCCCCATAGGAAATGGAAATCTGAGGACAGGATCTTATCAGCGGTGAAGGTGCGAATTTTCCCTTATGGGGTGGGACGGCGATGCTGCGGCGGCGTTTTCCCGGTAGGCCGCCGGAGGCTACGGCGATGGTGCGCCGGTAAGAGTGGATGAAGGGGAGGGTACCCCTGAAGATGAGATGAGTGGTTAAGTTACAGCCAGTTGCGGCCGCCATAACTGCTGAGAATCCCTCACAGCCTCTTTTTCTCCATCCTTTCCAGAGATGCAATTTTCTTCTATATTCACCTTTTTACCCTTATCTCACTTATTTCATTCTCTAGAAGAAAATTGATTGATGCAGCCTGAAATTATGGGACTCGTTTAAAAAACAAAGGGTTCTTTGGTAATCAATAGTTAGCCATTAACGAATTGAAATTGTTATTTTGATCAGTTAATTATATTAGCGGTTTGTAAAATACTAATTAGTAAAATTGACTATTTTCAGTCAATTGTTAACATATAAAATTATTTATAATGACATTTATTAAACTTATAATTAGTTAGTAAATAAAAATAAATAATACTTTAAATGATTTAAAATATAATAAAAATATAAAAACCAATAAACTAAAAAGATTTCATAATCGAGTAAATAAGTTCACGTCATATAAACAACGACATGTAAGTATTACAAAAATATGAATTTATTCTAATTAAATATAAATATTAGTTCAATTAAAAAGAGTAATAGTTATTGATGATAAGAACATCTACACATTTTACTTTTTCATGTATTAATTTTTAATATATACTTATACGGATTAAATTTACTGGTAATCTACTGCCAACAAAAATATGAGTAAGAAGTATTAAATTAAAACTTAACAAAAATTGTGTGCAAGAGATTTAAAAATTAGTAAAAACCACATGACAAAANNNAAAAAAAAAAAAAAAAAAAAAAAGCAATGGTGTGTAGATGTTTTGAATGGTGCCATGGTGTCATGCTAATAAGATTACTTTTCAAAGTGACAATAGGAAAGCAAAATGCTGAAAGCAAAACGCTGCTAATTATAGTTTTAATTTTTGGCGTTTTGAGCTCATCAGCTAATCTCGAAATTATGTTGCCAAACAGCAAAAAAGACAATTTTAGCTTTTCTCAATCAGGTCACAACCGTTGAAACACCGTTTTGGCAAAAAAGCTGAAAAACAAACAGAGCCAAAGTTGATTAAAAGTATGAAAGTTAATTATTTTGGTACAATAAAGGAGGTCGAAGGCTTAAAGGCTAAACTAGAACCCGTAGAAAACCCTGATCACATCATGCTCGAGCCAATCTCCCAAACAGGGAGAGGAGCAAACACCAAATGAAGACCAATCGAATAAGAGATCGTCAAGTGGTCGGCCGCAAAATATGAAAGTTAATTTAAACTTTTGGAGAAATGTTGCTCCTTATCAAAACTCTTTTATTAAGATAGTATCCACAAATATGGACCAGATGGATACCCATCATTCAGATTTGGGTAGTTGGTCTTTTTGGCACATCTGCACACTGTGATACAGACTTCTTTTCGTCGGGATTCTCACCAGACTAGGATCTATTATTTTTGTATTTTTGCTGCAGTTGTCAGCTTTGCATTGTACATTTTTTGCTTTTGTTTTTGGTTTTTCGTTTGACTTGATGTATATCAGACTTTGGACTTGTGACCTTTCAGCTGATTTAAGGCTTTTTTATATACAGGTTGGAAGTTCGGCCTTAACCCCCCCACCTCCCTGGGGTATTATTTGAAAAAAAAAGGGATAGTATCCACGAATATAGATAAGAACTAGTACAACACCCGTGTATTACACGGGTGCTTGGTAAAATTTTTTCATAAAATTTAAAATTAATGAGGAAAAATAGTTGAAAATTCAGATACTTTTTTTTATAAAAAAATATAAAATATTATATATTTTAGTATGACATTTGTTACTTGTGCGACTTACTTGTGTTATATTATAATAATTTTTCTAACTTATAGCATATGACTACATTAAATATAAATATATTAATTGAGAAATAGTTTTATTTTTCTAATTAATAAGTACTTTTTATTATTATAAAGATAAATATAATTTATTTATTTTATATATACAATATGGATGTCGAATCGAAACTCATCAAAAGATGATTAATTTAATATATTATATATGTAAAAACGATAAGAAATACAAAAGTTATCAATTTTTAAAATACATTTACAATTTAATAGTTATAATAGGAAATTATATTAAAATACAATTAATACATTTAAAACGATCATACATAAATCAACATATTTATGGTAATCTGAACATTTTTGGATTGAAATTAAATTAAAATCTATCCAAGCCAAATAATAAAGCATGAAATTTTGACACCTAAAATCTCGAAGCATGTGAGTCTGCGAGTCTGCCACTTAGGCTCAACACATTCAGAAATTATATATAGGGTGGATTATGTGATATGATTCTTTATTAATTTTATCTCAAGCAAATCATTTTTTTTTTTTTTTTTT